TAGCAGAATTCATCATCATAATTATAATGTGTCCACAGCTGAAAATGCTGAGTGTGTTCAGAGGCATTCTGGACCTTCAAGTCCACAGCCCAAGATGTTAACCACTATGCCATTCCTATATATATATATATATATTTCTTTTTGCATTTCTACAACAAATAACCAAATCAGATTTTTTCTATTTTAAATATCATTTTTAAAGGTTCAAGTACAAACCAATATTCGTTTAATGCATTACAAGTAATGTCTTAAGACACTTCCTTGCAGTTTCAACCATTCTTTTCTGGTCACTGATATATATATATATAATAATAATGAAAAAAAAATTAAATTAAATTTAAAAAAAAAACTACAGTTAGAATTTTATCACATTTGCATCTGATTGAATGTTAAACTAAATATTTTTACAAACTGGTGACAAGCAGAAGCTGGGAATGGACAATATGCTACAAGAGCTATTTACACACTTCTCATGTTCCTTCTTTGATGTTTTGAACCAACAGCTGAATCCTTCTTCCTACCGATTGATTCTTCTTTGGCCATGTTAATGTTTTAAACTCATTACTGATCCCTTTTTCAGGTCTAAAATATTCAGCACAGAACCAGAAAATACTGTTCTCATACTCTTATGAGACATCCAAGTTGTACAACAGTGTGTGAAAGTTTAAATAAAATTCAAATACTTAAATTAAGAGTAAAAGTTCAGTAGTACTATATTGATTCCTTAACCTCAGATTCTTTTCAAGAATAAGAGCATCTTTTTCACCCTTAGCATAATTGTTTTTAGCTTTACTGATCATTTTGAGAGATGGGATCACATCACATTCACCTAGTGCGTGCATGTCAAACCATGCTGGAGCTGTCCTTGAACCAAGGATTAGTCTTTTAAATGATCTCCCAGTATTTTAACATTCAAGTCAACATTGATGCTTTCACACGTCGGGCAACAAAATTAATAAATGACATGAGGCTATTGAGAGAACTGGATTTGATCTTTAAACTTGAAAAAAAAAATTGAATTCTCAATAGAGGTTTAACACACATTGAAGATGAACTTGTGGATAGACTTTATTGGTTATGCAATTTATTCTTCAAGAATCATGAGTACGAGCCTGTCTATGGTATTGAAATAATTTCTTTTAGCTTCAGGACATTATAGTTCAGTGACCTGGATAGATGTAGTTTTAGATAGTAGAATCTATAAAGTTTCTCAGGAAGGAGTTAGGTTTTAAAATGGATTTTAGTCTGAGTAACTAACTCTTACTGTAAAAGTTTGCAGGAACTGATAATTCTCTGTGTACCGAAAGTACGACATTTCACATTTCTTTGAAACGAACACTTCTACTTATAAACACAGAATGCATTGTTTCAACAGTTGGGTTCCCTTGCTTGTTAACAATATTTTGGGCCATAATCCCAATTATATCTCATGAGGCTCATCCAGCTTATAAGATTTAAGTTAGTCTTAAATGCATATATTAATCTAACAATACAAAACAATCTCTAAAATGAAAGTAAAATACAACTAAAAAGAAATGACATTCGATATATTAAAATAGTATAACTCATACTGTTAATGAAAGTGACAATAAACAAATAATATCGTTGTAAGAAGGGACAAAGTACAAATTATGGAAATAATGGAGTAACAAACCTAAAAACTTAGTATTGACCATGCATTACTGACTTACTGGACAAGGCACAGTGTTCTGGACAGGTTAGAACAGATACAGTATGATCTCCTTCAAAAAGAGAGACACAGGATAACAACTGTGTCACCCAAAAAGGATAAGAATTTTTAAAGTAGAGAGGAAGAAGGTGACATCTTCACACATATATGTCAACCATAAGTTCACCTAAACCAGAACACAATTACACAAACATTTGTTTATGATATAATTTATAAGGAAAAAAAGAAGAAGATAAAGTGATTGAAAACCAAAACCTAAAATCAACACTAACACTTAACGTTGATGAAAAAAATGGCCTAATTATGGAGTTAATTATAATCAAACACACTTGAAAGAAGTCTGTAAAATACTTTGAACTGCACATAATACCAGGAGACTGAAGTAATTGGACAATTTCCTATAATCTCAATTTTGAAAGGTAATGGGAAATGAGAAACATTTCCCACCCATAAGCTAATGTAGATATTAAAAAGCTAAATAGAAACTTGAATTTAACTCCAACTCAGGTGTTGTCATAGTTTAAACACTACATAAGTGAAACAAAAATTACAAAATTCAAAGACACACAGTGTAAGCTTGTTGGTACATAAACCAACCTTGCTGTACAAAGAGTGTGCAAGTGCTTGACTCACAAAAAAAAAAAAGAAGAAAAGAGGTAATTCAGAGAAGTTAAAAATCTGATAAACGAAAAAACAATAGAACCAGGGGAGCAAACAGGAAGGGAAAACAGATTATAGCTATAACCTCTAAAGAAATCACATGCTTAAAAAGTGTAGTTGTTAAACATTGATGGTAATTAATAAATCACTGAAGATCGAAACTAGATTTGTTATGGCTTAATAATATCCTCAGTAGTCAAACGAAGAACTGAGTAATTAACTCAATAAATCAATTACCTATAATCATCAGATTGATTAATGTCATATGAAATAATCCATTAATCATAAATTTATTAATATCATAAAGATAATCAGCTAATCAAAATTAGTGTTTCCAAATTATTACCAATTTTGATATTCAAACAATCTAAGTAATCAAAAAATTCCTTCTCATTACTATTTTTGATTAATTCAAGTTTGTCCAGTTTAATCAAATAGTGTCTTAACTCATAATATTAATCAACTAATCAAAATTAGGTTTTACAATTATTACTATTTTCATTGACTTCAAGAATCCACATTCCATGTGGGTAGTGTCAACTCAAGTTCAAAAATTTAAAGGGTGAAAATATTATGCCCCCTTTTCACATTTAAATCATTGGTTGGTTACTCATCCAATGAAAATTTTTTATATATATACATAATAATGTACAATTCTAAATTTTTCATTAACACATCAAAATTTCAATACCAAAAATGAAAAATTAAATCAACTGAAGCCAAAATGAATAAATATTACCATGTTCCTAATTAAACTTTAAGTACTTTTTTTCTACATACATATTTGTATTCAAATAAACAACAACCGAGATTCTAAATACTGAGTACTGTTTAATTAAAAGAATCGTGCCTTTTTTTTTTGCTTAATACTTCAAAAAGAGCTCAGCAGATGGCACTGTGAATAAAATCTAAATTACAAAATCAAAAGTTTCTGTGCATAGAATTATTTATTTACAACTAAGTTACAAAATGTGACATCCTACAATATAAGATTATCAAGAATCAAGTACATTTGGGTTTGAAATGTACAATATTTACCTTAATTTATACATATACTTAATGTGTAGTCTTATGATTAAAACTATCATAAAAATTGGGTTAAAAAAACACAGCTAAAACATTATTAGCCAAAATCTGTGCTTAAACCCAAATTAGGAAAGTGTGTTTATAAATTCTAAATTCACAAGTTACCTTATCTCCTAGGCTTTACTTGAGGACTTCTTAGTTACTTATTTGTTTTTTTACTAACGACAGGTCATGTTATAATCGAATAAAAGACAACACTACTATAAACCTCTTATTTTACTTACTTTGTTAGAGGGTTTACACTGAAGTCTACAACCTCCAAGCATTTAAGATGTTTAATACTGTCAGGAATGTCTTCCAGGTCTGTGTAGAAAGAGAATAACAACACAAACACTTTTTTATTGAGCAGGTATAAGATTAAATTGAGCTTTGAAATAAGGAGGTAAAAATTAAAAGTTTTAATGTAAAATTGTATGCCTGAAATTAAAAGACTGTGAATTTTGAAAATCATAACAATGACTACAGTTTACAGGCTTACTTAATAATCTCAGAACATTGTGTCCTCCAAAATAATCACAAGTTGGTTAAAGGTAATTACTATAATTATTACCAAACGAGATCAATTTTAAAGAATATTTTCTTCGCTACAGAGAAACACTATCGTATTTATTGCAGTTCGTCCTCTTTCATATAACAAAATCAGCATCATTAAAACTAAATTCAAAAACCAGCATACCACAAAAATATCCATTGGAAAGAGTTTAATCACTAAATCAGCTGAACAACATTACAACATAGCATTTCTGTCATTAGATTGAAAAATCATTTATCATAGCAGGCAAGTGAAATAATAAGTTTATTACAGGCTTAAGAGATTATGTTTCGATAATTATCTATCTCTCTCTCTCTCTTTCTTTTTTTTTTTTTTTTTAAGAAGAGAAAAAATAATGGTAAAATTAAGAAATTAGGGATATATCTCTTTGTTTTTGATATAAGCCATGTTTAGCAACAAAGTTGAAAATCCAGACATTATTACATTATATGCAAACAAGTATAAAAGCAGTATATAGGTTTCCTTTTTATGCTGTAAACTATGGCTAATATCTCATGGGCTTTTAAAGTACAGGTCAACAGCTCGAATAAGATCAAACAACTATTTTGAGGGCATTAAAAAAAATATAAAATCTTTTTTTTTATGTTTTGTGCAATATTACTTGTACATTTTGTGGTTTTAAGGTATTATATTTTAATAACTATTAATCAGTTATTTCCAAAGTCATAGTTGTTAATAAAATCACTAATAACACCTACTTTATGAAATTACAAAGATCTTTTTTTTTACTTTTCCTATGCAACTGTTGTATTAGTATTTCCTTTACAAAGCTGGATATATATATATATGGAATTCTGGCTAGGAGTCAATTAATTA